GATGGATGGAACAAAATGACCAAAAGCTTAAAACGTAAACAAAAGTTTATTGTTGACACAGATATCAAAGTAAATACCATTATTACTGTACTTGAGTTGTAAAGTACACAAGGGGTTACATTCAAATGCCCAACAGCACCTGAAGGCAGCACAAGCATTTTCCACCATTGGCGGTACTGAGGTTTGTCCAGTTCTCGGTATTTAACACAAGTGATGAAAGTCTTAATGTTACAACAGTTCACAGTGTAAAGATGTCGGCATGTTTTACAGTAACTCCCTTCACAAACTACAGGGATTAAAAAACAAAAACCGTCCACGTGATAAATACTCATGGACATCATCAGTGTTTTGAAACAGAACAAATCTAAATAAGATCTTACTTACAATGTGCCACACATAACAGTCATCATCTCGGTTTAGAGGCTTTATTCACGGGATCTGGCTAATTTCAGCTCTATGTATAACAGCTGTACCATAAAAACATTTCATTAGTAAAGCATTTTAAAATCTACAAAACATAAAAAAAAAATGTCTGTAACCACGTCGTTCAGCAACACAGTTAGTTAACATAGTGAACAGTTAATGGAAAGAAAAGGTAGCTGGAAGCTGCTTCGACCGTCCGCGACGTGAACAAAGACGTCACATCCCGTGGCGCATGACGTGACGCTTCAGTTCAGAGCTGCTCAGGAGGTTCCGGCCACAAAACTGACAAGTGAACGGTTTGTCCTCGGAGAGCGACGAACGCTGGACTTCAGCAGCTCCGTCCACGGCGGTCAGGGCGCCTGAAACACAGGAGAGGTCGACTTAGATCTAAGGCTGCAACCAGGACCGCTATCATCATATAAATAACAAATAAATAGGTTCTGATTTAATGCCTCTGCTGGTTTTTGTGTCGTGGTGCTGACACCGGGCTGCCAGGTGGAGCAGTGGTCAGCACCGTGGCCTCACAGCTAGAAGGTCGCCGGTTCAAGGACACTCTCTGGGTTCCTCCCACAGTCCAGAAACATCCATCCATCNTTCAGGTGACCCTCGAAAGCTCGGATTTTCGCCTTCTGCGAGGTTTCGCTGTTTTGTTTTGTTTTTTTGGGGTTTTTTTTTTAGATCCAGAGTGTGGAAGCTGTGGAGTAGTGAGTGTTAAATTACAAGAATAAATCAATAAAAGATTAATAAAATAAAAGTGGAAATAAAAAGAAGAATAAATAAAATGAAAAATAAATAATGTGGCAGCATAAAGCAATATTAATCTAAAACGAATCCATAAAAGAAAAGGCTAATAAAGTAAAATTATAAAAATAAATAACAAAAATAATTGCTAATTTATTATATATATATTTTTTTTCATTTATTTATCGACTTATTTTAAAATATTTTTTTAATTAATTCATTCATTTATGTATGTTGTTGGTTTTTAAATTATTTTTTAAATTATTTTGTAATTTTGATTGTTTTTTTTAATTATTTATCTTTACGACATTCCTACTGCGCACATTTTTCTGCGCATATTTCCTTTGCTTTTAACGCAAACATCTTCGTGTATGTAAAGATTCCTGAGTTAAATAATGCGGCTAATAGCAAAACGTTGCTTTCTGCATTTAAATCAGTGCCTAGTTTTATCTTCAAGTGTGTTTTTGTGATCTTAAACGTTTGCTTTGTGACAGGAATCATAACTTATCTACCCACACCAGCGTTTAAATACCCGCTTTCATAGACTATGTGGTAACTTAGTTAGCGATAGCACGCTAAACTAGCATAGCTACTAAGCTAGCTCGGTACCAAATCAGTAGCCGGTGCGTTTTGTGTAAATGTTACATTTAGTGCATTTTATAGTTTCCTGCAGGCAGTAGACATGAGTAAGATTAAGAATTTAGTCCTGAAAGTACAGCCAACAGAGAAGTTTTCCTCCTTCAGCATTAATGAAGCCCACTGTGTCAGGAGGAGCACTAAGGAGGAGCAACAAACCACCAACTGAAACCTAAACTCAGGTGTTCATGTCTCCTTCAGGATATCAGGAACTCCCAACCAGTCAGTCAGAGCTGATGAAGCCTCCTGGATGAAGGTGGAACGTCTTCAAGGAACTCAGGCAGCTGCTCCGATTAATCCACGACAGGAATCTCCAGCTCCAGTCCTCGTGAGCTTCTGTCCTGCAGGTTTCAGGTGTTTCTAACCCTGACCTGGATGACTGAGAACCTTCACAGACAGCCTTTAGCATTAGCATGTCTGAAACGCAGCAGGAGCATTAATGACAGGTGCTGCAGTTTGACTTTATTTGAAACAAAATGGGGCTGCAGGTGTCTCGGGATCTTCCTGNTTTATTAACACGGTGACTTTAAGCATCGTAGTCACTGAGTTCCAGGCCTGCATGTCATAAAGCACCGAACCTGTCGCCGCTGAATTACGGCAGAAGTCGGGAAGGTGTGAGGCTTGTCTGAGCGGGTCAGTACAACGTGACATCACACACGGTTACTGCCTCAGAACGGAGCTTTCTAAGCTACACCCTCAAGCAAAGGGTTCAACATGTCAACCAGAGAGCCTTCAAACACTCTCTGAGCTCCTAATCTGTCACCTCCTCCCCTCGACGAGGCCACATCGGTCAAAAACAAACGGACCCGGTGCCGTTTTCTGAAAGCCTGTTAACGGTCGACTAAAACACTTCTGTTTGGTAGAGACGCAGATAGCAGCAGGTTCAATAACACCAGCGTCACTAAGTCATTTAACTTACTGCTGGGTTGATCAGGCAGAAGAAAAACTAGAGAATTAGTCAAATAATCAGAGGGAACCGACACTCGTCTCCGTGTTCTTTAACAAAGTGGATAAATCTCATCTTATTTACAGCTGGACGGCGTTCATAGACCACAGCCTGTTCAGAGGTCTGACCTTCAAGAGTCTCTGCTTACGTTACCGTCTGTGCTCTCTGAGAACAACAAGAACGAGAAGGACGAGTTCCCAAAGTTCCCACAAACGTAAAGATAAACTTAGCAGCAGTAATAAGAGTAAGGAGGCTTGTGTTTGAAAAAGTCTGCTAAATAAATTTGGAGAAGTTGAACAAAACAGGATTAAAGATCTCATCCTAAACGCTGCCATAATTCTTTAAACTTTTCTTTGTCCTGATCTTCAGTCATGACCAGAATGCGCCCGGTCCTCTTTACATGATCAGAATGTGCTCAAAGTGAATAATCGACCGTTTCTTCAGGCACAAAGGAATTCCAGTGATGCACAGAAGGGCCCAGAGACCAGTCCTCACCTGATGCTTATCGCTCAGGTGTTCCTCCAAGTCGCCCAGCCGAGTGCAGTCGAAGTAGCACAGCCGGCACTTGTAGGGTTTGATGTCATCGTGCCTCGTCATGTGCAGACGCAGGCTGTCGGCGCTGCCGCTCGTGAAAGTGCATTTATGGCAGCGGAAGACGACGCCTCGAAGGTAATGTGACAGCTTTGAGCGCCGCACCTCTATCGGCACGACGCGTTCCTCTGAAAGCAAGAAACAAGAAGAGCGAGGGTCACTTCAGGTGAAGGGATGAGGGGACGGAGCTCTGGATCCTGCAGAGCGTCCAACCCACCGCGATGCAAGACGATGTGATCGATCATGTTGTTCTTGTTCTTGGTCTGGTAGAGGCAGAACGGGCAGCGCAGGTCCATCTGATGAGGAGGTTCTGACGGGCAGCTAGAGTGGCCTGTTTCTATGTGCCGCTCCAGGGTTTTCCTGAAGGAGGCAGAAGAAGTTAGAGACAGAAATACAACAAGTGTTTGATGTCACAAATGATGCTCTAATGACAAATTCAGAAAAACACACAAAGTCAGTGAATGTTCTGCAGACTTTATGTGTCTCCAAAGCACAGCTGAGGATCAGTAAACCCATGTTCTGTTCTGATCCATCCATCNAGACTGGTTACCTGTCCAGGTGAACCTGCCTTCAGCCTGACATACAGTCCAGGTTATCTCACATTGTCCTACTTCATCAACGTGTGATGCTGTTTGCATTTCTTCAGATTGTCTCTTTCTGAGACACAAAGCAAGTCTCACATGTTTTCTAATCTGGGTTCTGTTTGCCAGATCACGCACTAAACTAATGCATGTGTCTGTATCTCTTCTGAATGCAGGTTTTCTTCTGGACTTCTGGTCATTCAGATCCTGTGTGACCAGCTGAGATTCTTACCTTCGTGCTCGTGTGGACCGTCCAGATCTTCGCATTGCTTCTCATCTTCTTCTGCGATCGTCTCAGATCCTTTGTCCTCCTCCTGGTTCAGATGATCAGTCTCTTCTTGTTCCTCGCAGCGTCCAGGCCTTCCGTGCTTCAGGTATTCATTCTCTAGGACTGGCATCTCTCCGTAGTGCTCCGTCGCCTCCTCGCAGTTTTTCAAACGGTCCATTTTTTCCTGTTTGCAGTTCGTGGCTCCTAAACTGTCCGTATGGCTTAGCAGAAGCTGTGCACAGTTGGGCGACAGGGTGAGCAGATGCTTTTCGACGGTGAAGCTCTCTCGAGTGTTTTTAGCCTGTGCTGGGTTGATCTTTGCAGAGGCTGAAGCTGTCTGTGTATCTACTTGATGTTCTGGGTTCTGGACCAGAGCTGTGCTGCCTTCTTCGTCTAGTAACGGTAACTCACTGAGATCATCATCACCGCCTTTAGCCTCACCGTTCTGCTCCGTCCCGTCGGCTCCATCTCGACTTGTCGTCTTGTGAACTTTGCAGAAGCCGCCACCGTCGTCCGTCTGCAGGACGTCCTTCTCCGCCTTTGCCTCCATGTCCAGGGTTCTGTTCCTAAACGGCTTCATGTGCAGCATGTGGGCCGGTGTTTTCTCAGGGGTTTGGAAGTACGTTGTTGAGCTCCTCTCTGCTGCTTTCTCCTTCTGCTCCGGCGAGACGCTCCCGGCTTCACCGTCTCTTAGTCCGGGTTGGGCTTGGTTCTCCTTCTCTCTTGGTTCCTCTGGACCATCGCTCCCTCCCCAGACATTTATTTCTGTATTTCTGCCTGCAGTGTCTACCACTACTGGTTTCTGTGGGTCCTGTTCATGCTTCTTCAGGACGGTAGTGTTTGGTTTTTCATGCTGAGGACTCTTGCCAGAGGTTTCGTCATCTCCATTCCAGCCTTCCTTCTGCTTTGCTTCCTGGAGTGTAATTTCCCCCCTGATGGTATTTTCTGTTGGGTTCTTCGTTTCATCTAAGACTGGGACAAACTCTTTGGCTTCCACGCCGTCGCTGTCATTGTTGGAATCCTCCACGTTAGACGAGGACTCCTCTTCGTTTCCTGACATCCCACCAGCTTGTGCGTGCAGCTGATCGAGGCTCACCTGACCCACGAGATCATGATTCCTCACAACCTGCACACACAAAATAATAATCAATCAAAATACAAACCTGAACACATAGAACTTCTACAGGACTGCAGAAACTATTCCAGGATCTCAGAAGTCTGTAAACAGGGTCTAAATGACTGATTGATAAATTAGTGATTAAATATGCACAAACCTCACAACTACAGCAACTCGTGTTTATGCAGCCGTGACCCGATAATCGACCCT